AAATCGCCCCCTCGCCGCGGGCAGCCACGCCACGATTACCGGCGGGTTTGAGCCTCTCTGAAGCATGCGAGGGGGAGGCAGTGGGTCAGACACTGAGTGCGACGCTTCGGGTGCAGGAAGGGGATTATCAGTCCCCGAGATCAGTACTGAAATGCACACCTTTCTACAATTTTTTTCCCCTTAGCGTCATCCAGTACTTCAAATTTAAAACCTATATTAAGGTCTGAGCTAAATATATTGTACTAATTTTTATTTAAATTAGGCTGTTGAAGCAGTACGTGGATGTTGTCCCAGTTTGAGGGTGAAAGTTGCTAAATGTGGGGAAGTAAAATACTGTAGGTATCGCTATCTTTATCAAAAGGTGGTTTCCATTTTCTCAGCTATCGGTATTAATTTAATTTGATCACAGTTAAACAGAAAAATGCTGGTTTTTAATGGAATTGTAACATTCGTCCAACAGCTGCTCAGTTTCGGTTGTCTGTAGAACCAGAGGTAACTTTCGGATAACGAGAGAAGCTGTCGCTTGCCGTTAGAACCTAAGAAACATGAAGGGCTCCTGTCATTAGAACCCAGTAAACATCGGCCCGCCTGCCTGTGCCGCGCGTTCACGCCGATCTCTCTGGTTTCCTCCCAGCACACGCTCATAGTCGCGGATGCTGAGAACCTCCTGAAGGCCCCCACCATCGTGGGGAGGGCGGCGCTGAACCCCATCCTTTTCCGAGGAGTCGGGTAAGCGACCTGCGGGGCAGGCGGGGGGGCGGGGGGGCGGCTGTTGGGGAGGCGACGCAAAAAACACCGGTGGTGGTGCGAGGTGAGCGTCAGGTTAGCCGGCTGCGAGAGTTCACACCAGAAATCGCGTTTGGTGTCAGATAACGATAAAGAGAAAATCTCAGAAGCAGCTTAGTTGTTGACTTCAGAACGTTTTTTTAAGGTAAATAGCAGAGGTTGGCTGTATATCTTGATGAAATACCTCTGCCCTAGTGAGGCCCCATCTGCAGTGCTGTGTCCAGTGCTGGGCTCCCCAGTCCAAGAAAGAGGAGGAGCTGCTGGAGAGAGCCCAGCGCAGGGCTACGAGGATGAGGAGGGGACTGGAGCATCTGTCCTGCGAGGAGAGGCTGAGGGAGTTGGGCTTGTTCAGCCTGGAGAAGAGAAGGCTGAGAGGGACCTTAGAAATGCCTCTAAATATCTGCAGGGTGGGTGTCAGGAGGACAGGGCCAGCCCTGGCCCAGGCTGCCCAGGGAGGCTGTGGAGTCTCCTTCTCTGGAGATATTCCAGCCCCGCCTGGCCGCGGTGCTGTGCAGCCTGCTCTGGGTGACCCTGCTTGGGCAGGGGGTTGGGCTGGGGGACCCACAGAGGGCCCTGCCAACCCTGAACATTCTGTGATTTCTTGGGGCATGCATTTGTCTTGCTGCATCTGAAGGGTGCGGGGGTTCGTGCGGTTGAGCTGGGGGCTGCACGTCCCTCGGGTCTTCATGCTGCTCACCCTGCCTCTCCCTGCCAGGATGGTGGCTGACCCCGACAACCCGCTGGTGCTGGACATCCTGACCGGCTCCTCGACCTCTTACTCCTTCTTCCCTGATAAGCCAATTACTCAGGTATGCTCTGTTTCTTTTCCTTCTCTTCTGGGCCGTACTCCTACGATTAAGCCCTGCAGATTTCAGCAACTTGGAAAATCCCTCGAGTGTTCAGTGTCCCGACGGAGTCTTTGAAAGCGCCGGGCTGCCATCTGCTCTCCGACGTTGCCCTGGGAATCTGCCCCTCTGCCCGTTGTTGGTGGGAGAATGCCCAGTGCCGGGGTGCTGTGGAGGAAGGGCCAGCCCAGGGCAGAGGCTGCCTGGGGTGGTTCCAGTCGGAGAGGGCGGGAGCTGTGAATCCTGTTACGGATTCTCCTGAGCTTCTTGGCTTCTACTGAACTGCAGACTGCGCTAGCTACAGTCGCACCCGGAGATTAACTCTCCTTTAATCGTCCTTAAATTGCCCAAACTCTCTTCTGAACGGTGTTCCTTTTCAGTACCCCCACGCGGTCGGGAAGAACACCCTTCTGATCGCGGGGCTGCAAGCCCGGAACAACGCCCGTGTGGTTTTCAGCGGCTCCTTGGACTTCTTTAGCGACGCGTTCTTCAATTCTGCCGTGCAGAAAGCCACCCCTGGCTCCAAGAGGTACGTCAGCCTCCTGGCCTCCCTGGCTGAGGAGTCTCTGGGGAGCTGTTTGGTCAAGAAAGACCTTGGAAACAGGCAAAAAATTTCCAAGTTAAGGGAAGCTTGGATGAAATTGGGGGTGCCGTGTTCCTCTGGCCTTGGGGAACAAAGCGCTCTGGGAAGCAATTCCCTCCATAGACCCCAGCTGTTTTTTTGTCGCTTTCCCATCTGATAACGGTTTGGGCGTGCGGTGGATTTTGTCGGCGTGGCTGCCACGCTTTCTCAGCCCTCCTTCGTCCGTAGGTACTCGCAGACGGGTAACTACGAGCTGGCTGTCGCCTTGTCCCGCTGGGTGTTCAAGGAGGAGGGCGTGCTGCGCGTCGGAGCCGTGTCCCACCACCGCGTCGGGGAACTCGCGCCTCCCAACGCCTACACTGTCACCGATCTCGTGGTGAGGCCGCGGCGTGGGCAGGAGGGGACGCGGGAGCTGCTTTGGAAAAGGAATTTGGGGAAATTCAGACTCGGGACGGGTTGAGGTTTGTTGTCAGTTGTCACTCGTTAACCTCACACATTGTGGGTTCGTTCCAGGAGTACAGCATCGTAATCGAGAAGCTTTCTGACGGCAAGTGGGTCCCCTTCGACGGAGACGACATTCAGCTGGAGTTTGTCCGCATCGACCCCTTCGTGCGGACCTTCCTGAAGAGGAACGGTACGTGTTGTCCCCCAGCCCCGCTGCGGGGCTCCTCTCGCAGCCCGGCTTCCACGGCCTCTCGCGTCGCCTCAACC